GCAACGCGTAAAAAGACAGTATAAGTCATTATAATCCATAATTATGTCCCCACTGGATGCAACGAATGCCTCGTTTATAATGGGTTTTCATGTTTTTGTCTCGTCGCTCTGGCCAGACAGTGCATCATCACAATGTGGTAAGGGGCATAACATTTCCGTCACACGCTTGAGGTGTTCGGCCAATCACAACGCACTGGATAGCTGGCCAATCACAGCACACCTCGCTTTTTCAGAACGATGAGCTTTGTAAAAATCGACGCATTTCAGAAAGGCGGGGCATAGAGGAGAAACAAAAATGTACAGTATGTGGAAAATAATGTGTTTTTTGAACCTTAAACCGCATAAACACATTTCATTACACCAAATACACAAAATAATGTTCTTTTGACCCCTTTAAATCGCGCTCAAATTTATTTGATTATGACGCAATATTTACACTGAAGCGCGCAGCAGGCAGCTATGGTAAGGGGCATGACATTTCCCGACCAGGCGCTGAGTGCTGCCAATCACAACACACACTGGCCCAGCTAACCAATCACAGCACATTTCGTATTTCAGAAGGCAGGCCTTCATTTGTTACAGGAACTATTCGAGCTGTTCATGCCAGCCTGGGGAGAGAGCTTTGTAATAATGTAAAAGATGTGAAAAATAATGTGTTTTTCGAACAACCTAGTATGAGAGCATGTTCTAGTACACCCCCAAAACAAAATCAAGACTTTGTAAAAGAGCATAATAGGACCCCTTTAAGTGGAGATTCCAAGACTGTTGACTTTGCAGTAAAAACAGTAATTATATTAGAAAAGATAAATATGGCAGAAATGCTCTGTTTTTCTACACTGTACTTGATGATGTTCACATACCAGTTTGACTGAGTTTTTTATTTAGAGCCTTGTGAGTTTTCTTCAGTTGTGTCAAAGCTCTATGCAGAGGGAGCACATTCACATCCGAGTCAATCCTGATCTCAGTCCAGTTCTTGGTGTGTGGATGACTGCACAGAGATGAGTACATCTACAGCAGGAGAGAGAAGACTATTACATATGGAATTTGTTTTTCTATTTTTAATTACGCTAATTCAAGATGCTTCATTCATTCATTCAATATGTTCGTACGCAAGAGCTTTCAAACACAATTAAGGCAAGCCGCCCCCAGGTGATTAGGGTATCCAAAGTATGGATATCACCTTGCGTCCTCAAAAGATTTGCAAAGTTCATAATTCTTGTTTTATATTGTTGACATATTAGAGTTAAAGGATTTTACAAATGAGATTTTGGATTTCTATTTGAATCATTCCATAAATCAGAAAATAATGTCAACAGCCAAAATAAAATACTTTTTCACCATGCTGTTATGAATAAAATATCATATAAAATCAGGTGAACAAACCCCTCTGTAAAACCCTTCAGAATATAGATAGGAATAAAACTGTAAAGTTTGGTGTGTGTAAGTGCTGCTGAAGAGATTTTTGACTCCAGGGTGCCAGGGTTGTTATAGTTAACTGAAACTAAAACTATTAAAAAAATTGTTAAGTAACTTAACTAAAACTAATGTTCACTGAACTAAAATATAAAAACATAAACTTAGATTATTTCAGCTAGTTGCCAAGGTAACATATTGAATAGAGGGAGGGATTTTATATTTGCGCTCCTCCCTCATCTCTCACTAGCAGCAAACTAACGGTTGGAGGGGCATGGTTAAGCATATTCTGCCCAAGCCATGGCTCAAGCCGTCAAACTGATGTTTTGAGAGAAGGAATCATAGATATATATAGGTAGATTCCCCATTCGACTGCGCCAAGCACATAGACGCGTCCGCCATCTTTAACGGTCAACTTGACGTCATTCACCATAATCAATGAATATTCGAAGATGCCACAATCCTGCACAGCTGATGGTTGTAAAAACCACCATGATTTAAATTCCCGAAGAAACGGCATAACCGTTCACAGGTGAGGTGAGGTGTTGGTTTGTGTTTTTAAATGTATTAACTTAATATTACAAGTTTTGAAACATTGGTAACTTATGTTACTGTTATGGTGAATGACGTCAAGTTCACCCTTTGAATATGGCGGACGGCTTATGTATAGTGGCCCATAGATGCAGTCGCTAAAGAGGCATCTACATATATCTATGGAAGGAATGCCATTCTAGAGCGGAAGCAAACGTTCAGATTTTGATTAAAGATTACCAAGACGATTTGTTTCAGTGGATTAACTTGCATGAATACATTGTTCACCTCAAGACTAGCAATGGACGCAAACAAAATTTATTTTGTAAATTTTAATTTCATGCAGATTTTAACAAATGATATTCTGCATTCTCACTAGGGATGTAATGATTCACTCAACTCACGATGTGATACGATTCACAATACTGATTTCACAATATGATTTTCTAACGATTTTTCCCCCCAACCAAATTAGATTTAAGACCAATTATAAATGAAAAGGTGTCCTTTTATTATTGCTTGGGCAAAATGCTGCACATTTCTTTGTGAAATTGTCAAATAACAAAACTAAATTGAAATTTTAAAACATCACATATTTATATCAATGTTCAACCAGCTCGCAGTGCATCGTTACATCCCTAATTCTCTCTGATGAGGCAGATGTTGACAGACCTGCAGGAGGTGCAGATGATCGTCAGTGTGTGAGAGCTGCTCCAGCTCAGTGTTTCTCCTCTTCAGCTCAGTGATTTCCTGCTGCAGCTCTTTAATGAGATCTTCAGCCTGTTTCTCTGCTGCTTTCTGCTGTTCCTCCATCATCTTCAGCAGCTCAGACTGACATCTTTCAATGGAGCGGATCAGATCAGTGAAGAGCTCAACACTGGCCGATTTCTCTTCCTCTGTGTTCCTCTAATGAATGAGATCAATTAACAGGCTCATGTATTATGTTTACATGTACTGTATATTTAAAGGGTTCACTCAAATACGAAAATGCTCTCATCATCTACAGATGTGTAATGTGAAATGTGTTTATCCATTTAATTCAGAACCTTTATTAAGCAGATTGAAATACACTGCTAAAAAAAATTAAGGGAGCAAGTAATTGTCACGGCCTGGGATAAATGGAGGACTCGGATGCAGAGGAGTAGTGAGAGAGGAGATCAGCTCGTGATCGGTGCACTCCCGCTGCAAGATCAGCACCGATTGCCCAGACCAGGAGCTGCTGAAAATGACAGGGCAACACAGACAACAAGAGGAGCCGAGAAGGCACCCTGAACCGTGACAGTAATCATCACAGTGTAACACCAAGTCAATTAAACTTCTGGGATATTAATCTGTCCAGTTAGGAAGCATAAGTGATTGTGAATCAGTTTCTCCTGCTTAGGTGGAAATGAAAGTGACAACATGTGCACTGGAGAGGCAACAACAAGACAACTCCCCAAAATGGATTTTTTTTTTTGCAGGTGATGGCCACAGAAATTTGCTCTCTCCTTGTCCTTTCTTGTCTCTTGGCATGGAGCATAGAGGACATACCGGGAGACAGGCCGTTACATGAGGAGAGCTGGACAGGTTTGTAGAAGGGAAACAACCCAGCATCAGGACTGGTATCTGCTCTTTTGTGCAAGTAGGAACAGGAGGAGCACTGCCAGAACCCTCCAAAATGACCACCAGCGGGCTACTGGTGTGCATGTTTCTGACCAACCTGTTAGAAACCGACTCCATGAGGGTGGCATGAGGGCCAAACATCCTGTGTGGGACCTACACTCACAGGCCAGCACTGTGCAGCTCAATAGGCATTTGCCAGAGAACACCAGAAATGGCAGGTCCTCCATTGACATCCCGTTCTCTTAGAAGAGAGCAGGTTCAGACTGAGAACTTGTGACGGACATGAAAGTGTCTGGAGATGCCGTGGGGAATGTTATGCTGCCTGCACCATCATCCAGCATGACCGTTTTGACGGTGGGTCAGTAATGGTCTGGGGAGGAATATTCTTGGAGGGTTGCACAGACCTCCATGTGCTCTAGCGGTACTCTTACTGCTGTTACGTACTGGGATAAAATCCTCAGAGCTGTGGTCAGACCTTACACTGGTGCAGATGGCCCTGGGTTCCTCCTGGTGCATGACAATGCCCGGCCTCATGTGGCCAGAGTGTAAGGCAGTTTCTGGATGATGAAGGCATTGATGCCATTGACTGGCCCTTGTGATCACCAGACCTGAAGCCAAATGAGAACCTCTGAGTTGTTAGGTATCAGAGCATCCAAAGCTGGCAAGTAGCACACAGGCTGTCCAGGAACTCACTGATGCCCTGATCTAGGTCTGGGAAGAGATCCCAGAGGACACCCAGCCTGTGCCCTGCAGTGTTTGCCCACAGTTCTGCACTCTTAATCCAAAGCACCTAGTGGCTTTCCCAGTGGCTCTGGTTGTGGATCTGATAGCCTTTCTCTTTGCCTCCCTGGTGTTGCCTAGTAGTGTAAACCAGTGGCGAGCGGTAACTTTCTTAACTGGGCATGCTGAGTGCTAAGATTAAGATCCCCCCCTCCTAGGGATGGGTGATATGTTATCGTTTGCGATATACCGTTAAAAATTCTCCTCAGGATAAAAATGTGTCTCCTCGCAATAATAACGATAAGCCTAGTTTATGACGTAGTTCCGTTCGCGACCGGAGTGATAACAAGCATGGTGGAAGGCGGACGTGAGGCTGAAGAGGAGCTTGTTGCTAAGCAAGGAGCTACCTCCACAATTTGGAACTGGTTTGGTTATAGAAAATCAGATGCGGCGCAAATGACCGTAATATGCAAGGTTTGCAGAAAAACAGTGGTTACAAAGAGTGGAAACACGTCCAATTTGTTCCACCATCTCAAACACAAACCAGAGTACGACAAAAGTTTGAAGATTCGCGAGGAGATGGAGACACCGACTACAAGTAATGTTAGACCTAAGGCTAAGAAAATTCCTACTCGGACGAAAATTGCCAGCGCATTTGCTAATTGCGTTCCTTATGATAAGCAAAGTAAACGATGGAAAGAATTGACAGAGGCAGGGGCGTTTTGTTTGGCAAAAGACATGTTGCCATTCATGCTTGCCGAGCGACTGAGCCGTACATTAGCCTTACGGTCCATTGTATAACGAGTGACTGGAGTTTGAACAGCTGTTGCATCCAGACAAGTTTTTTTTCCAGATGACCACATGGGTGAAAACCTTGTGAGTGGCCTGAAGCAGGTTCTTCAAGAATGAAATTTAGATGAGGAGAAACAGGTGTGCCTAACAACGGACAGTGGAACCAATATAGTAAAAGAAGTAACTCTAAACTTGTGGACAAGACTGTCTTGCTTTGGCCATTGTCTACACATTGCTATTGGTAAGTTTAATCTTTCTCTCTTAGTGTCAGTATATTTTATGCATGCACACTGAGCAAACATGAGCTTAATATTTACTGTATTTATGTATTTGTTTCTGCATTAGTAATGTAACTGCATGCAGTATTTTGAACAGGAAATCATTACATTAGGTAATATGTATATGTGACCCTGGACCATAAAACCAGTCATAAGGGTAAATTTCTTGGAACTGAGATTTATACATCATCTGAAAGCTGAATAAATAAGCTTTCCATTAGTGTATGGTTTGTTAGGATAGGACAATATTTGGAATCTGAGGGTGCAAAAAATCTAAATATTGTCCAAATGAAGTTCTTAGCTATGCATATTACTAATCAAAAATTAAGTTTTGATATATTTACAGTAGGAAATTTACAAAATATCTTCATGGAACATGATCTTTATTTAATATCCTAATGATTTTTGGCATAGAAGAAAAATCTATAATTTTGACCCATACAATGTATTTTTGGCTATTGCTACAAATATACCCCAGCGACTTAAGACTGCTTTTGTGCTCCAGGGTCACATATATTATGTGCATTTAAGATAAAATTTTTAAAAAAGTTAAATTTTTTTTGTTTAATCTATTATTTTAATTCTAACTGAACTCTCATTCTTTTCCTTTTTCCTTTTTTGTTTTTTATTGTATTATTTTATTGTTGTTTTGCAGAGAGAAGCATGAGAGATATCAGGATTGACAGAGCTGTGGGAGTTTGTAAGAAGATTGTCAGTGTTTTTCGTACAGCTGGAAAAAGCAGTGAGCACTCAAAAATGCTCAAGTAGAACTTGGCCTTCCTCCACACAAACTTGTGACTGAATCGGCAACACGATGGGGATCAAGGCAGAAGATGATTCAGCGGATGCTTCAGCAAGAGAAGGCCATAGAAGCTCAGAGTGCATCTAAAAGGCAGAGGAAGACTCTTGGAAGTTTTTTCAAGAAACCAGTTGCTGAGATGACCAGTATTTGTGAAACAGAGAAAACTGAGGCTGAATTAAACAACTACTTGCATGGGCCACTTGCAGATGATGAAAGATTTCCCTAACATCAGTCGTTTAGTGAAAAAGTACTTGTGCATCCCTGCCACAAGTACACCCTCAGAGAGGGTGTTCAGCACTGCTGGAAATGTAGTAACATGCTAAAGGTCTCTTCTGAAACCAGCTACAGTGAATATGTTAGTCTTCTTGACCAAAAATCTTAAGGTGTGAGCCCTGTTCTCTTTTTGAAAGCTGCTGAATCACATACTTCACTAGTATGTGTTATATAACTTGCACTACCAGACATTTTCATGTCAGCCTCATTTCTACATTTTGTTTACAAATTAAAAGTATATCAGTGTTTACACTTTAATTTAACTTTTATTTAAATTTAATTTCTTGATTTGTTTTTAATTTATGTGTGTTTTGCACTGTTTTGTAAACTAACTGAAGACATAGTTAGGATCTTTACTTTTTGATACAATGTTTGCAGTATTTTTACAATTTGTTCCATGGGACAAGAGTGTTGAAAACTTAGACTACCTAATTGTTGGTAGCATGTTCCACATACATATTTTTTTTTACATTCTAAGAGTGTCATTGACTGTTTCACGGTAAACTTCTTTAATTTGTCAGGTTACTTTAGTGTAATTTGTTGCTTTATTAGGATTTATTTGCAGTTGCACTTTTTCGTCATTTTGAAACCCAACTGAAGACATGGTTGGAATTGTTACTTTTGCTGTTTGCACTATTTTTGCCACTGTTTGCACCATGAGAGTATAAATAAATACAGAATCTGTGTTTACATTTTAAACTTGATGTGTAAAAATGTGTAGTTGTAATGTGATGTTTTTCAGCACAGTTACTGGAACACAATTTAAGCATAACATAATCTGCTATTTTACAGAAGAAAATTATTTCTGCAAAGGCTGGTGTTTGGATATCGTCATTGATATCGTTATCGCAATAAATACCAGAAATTATCGTGATACATTTTTTTGGCCATATCGCCCATCCCTACCCCCTCCTCATCGGCTTTTAGGACACACTCAAAGAGGGATTACAGAGGACAAATAAGAAAAACTGTGGCAAGTGTCGTTTTAAAAGTATGCGCATTTCCTACCTTACTTGTAAATGAAATTCATCTCCAATCCTTCTTCTATCATTTTAGGTTTATCCATTATTCGAATGCTAGAAATAAATATATTTGGTTTTCCAAGTAAAAACCACTAAATAACGTTTACACGTTGTTACGTAATGACACGCGGTATTCAGGGGTTGGGGATTTTATATAAAATTTATAAACTTTTTTTTTATATATATTTTATCATTTTATTAGTTTACTCAGGCATGTTGCTAAATAACCTATATCTTCAACATATATTGGCTATGACCAAAAATGTAGGAAGATTAGTTTTCAGTGCACTTTCCAAATTTTTTGCTTGAGAAAGTATGAAAATAATGTTACTATGTTTCTTATTTGATTTAGTCAAAATGGTGTTGCATCAAACAACGTGATTTTCGCAATCCAGATCTGGCAGCAATAGCGCATTTTTCCTCTTGGGCGAGCTTTTCGCCGAAACGCTTACCTCGTGCATCAAATCACACGCATGCCAGCAAACCAATGAGAATGCGCTATAATCTTGACAAGTCACAGCAATAGAGCGGAGGCGCCAAAGCTGCTGTGAATCCACTTGCCCTTAAGCTTTTATAACTGGCACAGATTTACAAAAAATTACTTGTCATAATTTGACGTACTTATTCCCAACACTTTATTAAGCTTAAAGTTACATCTCAAATAACAAGGGATCAAATCAAGTTTATATTAATTATCCCACAAATTAATTCTCTCAGATGGCCTGGGTATGTGGAGCATTCGCAGCTTATATGGACGGAACGCCACTGGTGAAACACTGCAGAGCGATCGCCCAGCAAATCCTCTGCAGCCCACCTCCAGAGGCTCTCAGTGAGTTTGCCAGCCCTGCCTTCTGCACTCTTCAACTATATCCTCGTACTTGGCACACTTCCTCTCACTGGCCTCGTCCATGTGCTCTTCCCAAGGCACAGTGCGCTCCAGCAAGAGCAATTGCTTGGTGGAATCTACGACATTAATCATGTCTACACGAAGCTGTGTGGTTATTATTTTGGTTAGGATCTGCCAAGATCCACCTCCAGTTGCCAGTCAGCAGCGGTAGTGAGGAGGCCAGACTTTGATCTCGGTTGTGAATGGGCTTTCGTTCCAGCTCTGAGAAGCTTGGTGGTCTTTGGCTTGTGGTGGACCTTGATGGAATTGATGGCTGTGCCTTTGCTCTCAGCAACTGCCTTAAGCACCTGGTCGTGGCGCCAGCGATAGCGTCCCATCTCCAATGGCTTTTGAGCAGCTACTAAGGTTCCTGGACTCCCTACTAAGCTACTAAGGTTCCAAGGACTCCCCTTCCTGAACAAAAGAGACAGGTGTCTCAATTTTGCCCCAGACATGGAAGTTTGCTGGACTTGGTAGGACATCGTAGGCAGTTTGGACTAAGAGCTTGATATTATAGAAGTCTGCTTTCCAGATGTCGGCCCAGGTGATCTTACGTTGCAGAACATTTTCCTCCCTTCCATTAACTGACATCCAATGTGTGATTTAAGTGTTCCCTTAATTTTTTGAGCAGTGTATTATAATGCATAGTCAATTTTACATTGTCTTAACTTCCACTCACTTTTCTCAGCTCTACTGAGTGCTGTATTTCTTGAATCTTCATCATTCTGTCCTGGATCATCTGTTGCACATCTGTCTTTTTCTTATCCAGCTGATTCTGCATAAACAGAAGAACACATTTATGACTGAATTTAGCTTTCCATCTTCTGACAAAAGTCTTATTTGAATATTGATTTTGAAAACCATTTAAAGACCCCATGAGCTGGTTATTTTGGATCTTTTAGTCCATGTCTGACATTTTTAAGGGTAACATATTCTGGGTAACAAAATTCACGAAATCAGCTTTTAACAGATGTAGTGAAATACTTTTGGCTTTTAAAAAAGGACATGTTCTTTAACATGTCAACACACAGGAAAGATGTATTTCATGGGATCTTTATAGTGTTTTGTTTGTATCTCTTGCCTTCTTCTGTTGACTCTCCTCCTCTACAGGAACAGTGTTGTGAGTCCTGTGGTCTCCTTCAGTGCAGGACAAACACACACACGTCTGATCATCTCTGCAGAACAGCTCCAGAGGTCTCTGGTGTTTCTGGCATATATAATCCTCCAGATTTTCCACAGCGTTGATCAGTGTGTGTTTCTTTAGACGTGGGACTCTAAGATGAGGCTCCAGGTGAGTCTCACAGTAAGAGCTTTGACACGTCAGGCAGGACTTCACGGCTTTCTGCTTTCTTTCATCACAGAAGTCACAGAACCCCTCAGATCTTTCTGGATTGAGCGTCTCCTTTAAGGTGAAGTATGTTTTTTCTGCGACACAAGTGTCACTTAGCGAATTTACAAAAATAAAGCATATTTTCAAACAACCTTGCAAAGGTTTTTGTGAAAAAAATTTCACAAGTCGTGCCTCCCCCAACTCAAGCATCACAAACACAGCTCATACGGGTGTTGTGAAGGCATGTCTCAGGTGAAAGTAGGCTACTTTCAATAAAAGGTCCGACATATTGGGATACTTTTACCTGTGTTCCTATGTGCTGTGTGAGAAGCTTAAGCAACTGAGAAGGCTAACACTGTCTAGAGCAGGCGTGGCCAGTGTCAGCCCTGAAGAGCCACACCCCTTGTCCAAATACCTGCACTTGCGATCTTTGCACTTGACCAATTGACTACTTATATGATGGATTTCCTGTATTTGGTCCAAGTGTTCAAGTGAGCATGAAGACCACAAGTATGTGTAGAACTTTTCATTACCTGATAGGACACACTTATAGTGTTGTAAATAATGCAAAATTTTACAGAGCTTTATTTTTATTTTCAATACTTTGCCTTTTAAAATCAGCTTCTAAATATCTGTTCAGTAGTCCCTGTAACAGATGACACTATTTAATTTTGTGGTGCTTCTAATTAAGTGATAAAAAGCAGTTGCAAATGTTGTAAAAATTATCACCACTACTCATTTGCACCAATAAAACATGCAACTCTTTGTTTTAGTTCCAAATTATATGTAATATCTAACTGTTATTAATTTTTAACATACATTGGAAAGGTTTCCGTGACCTCTCGCAAGATCTCGGCAAAAAGTGTCACGATTTATTTTCACAACATGATGCATGATGGGATACACTTAGTGTTTTGTTTGTATCTCTTGCCTTCTTCTGTTGACTCTCCTCCTCTACAGGAACAGTGTTGTGAGTCCTGTGGTCTCCTTCAGTGCAGGACAAACACACACACGTCTGATCATCTCTGCAGAACAGCTCCAGAGGTCTCTCATGTTTCTGGCATATATAATCCTCCAGATTTTCCACAGCGTTGATCAGTGTGTGTTTCTTTAGACGTGGGACTCTAAGATGAGGCTCCAGGTGAGTCTCACAGTAAGAGCTTTGACACGTCAGGCAGGACTTCACGGCTTTCTGCTTTCTTTCATCACAGAAGTCACAGAACCCCTCAGATCTTTCTGGATTGAGCGTCTCCTTTAAGGTGAAGTATGTTTTTTCTGCGACACAAGTGTCACTTAGCGAATTTACAAAAATAAAGCATATTTTCAAACAACCTTGCAAAGGTTTTTGTGAAAAAAATTTCACAAGTCGTGCCTCCCCCAACTCAAGCATCACAAACACAGCTCATACGGTGTTGTGAAGGCATGTCTCAGGTAAAAGTAGGCTACTTTCAATAAAAGGTCCGACATATTGGGATACTTTTACCTGTGTTCCTATGTGCTGTGTGAGAAGCTTAAGCAACTGAGAAGGCTAACACTGTCTAGAGCAGGCGTGGCCAGTGTCAGCCCTGAAGAGCCACACCCCTTGTCCAAATACCTGCACTTGCGATCTTTGCACTTGACCAATTGACTACTTATATGATGGATTTCCTGTATTTGGTCCAAGTGTTCAAGTGAGCATGAAGACCACAAGTATGTGTAGAACTTTTCATTACCTGATAGGACACACTTATAGTGTTGTAAATAATGCAAAATTTTACAGAGCTTTATTTTTATTTTCAATACTTTGCCTTTTAAAATCAGCTTCTAAATATCTGTTCAGTAGTCCCTGTAACAGATGACACTATTTAATTTTGTGGTGCTTCTAATTAAGTGATAAAAAGCAGTTGCAAATGTTGTAAAAATTATCACCACTACTCATTTGCACCAATAAAACATGCAACTCTTTGTTTTAGTTCCAAATTATATGTAATATCTAACTGTTATTAATTTTTAACATACATTGGAAAGGTTTCCGTGACCTCTCGCAAGATCTCGGCAAAAAGTGTCACGATTTATTTTCACAACATGATGCATGATGGGATACACTAAGCCTTGAATACCGCTCTGGAGCGTGGATTTAGTGTGCGTTAAGAGTACTGCGCTTTGGCATTTTTAAGACCTGGGACCAGTGTTGCCAACTAATTTTCAGCGGAAGTTGCTAAAGGAAGATTGATTTGTTGCTAAAAGTTGCTAAATGACGCGATGTCATTGCGCGGTGACGTCATTGCGTAATCACGATGCAAAATTGTGTCACTGCATCAAATCTCAGCAAAAAATATAAACAAATGTATATCTGTTAATTTAGATGTTTATAAAAAAATATAAATGCATAATATTAAAATATAAATAACTAATTTTAAATACAACATTGAATTATTAAACACTTTCACATTTTTTAACAATTACAATTTAAGTTTATTTTTATTAGCTAGTAAAACTACTCATTCTGAACAATTATAGATTTAAGCAGTGTATTAGTAGTTTGTATGCTACACTCTAAGAAAAATCTGTAAAAATAGGGCAAAATCTATTAATATGAAGGAATTTTCCGTAATTATTATTCACACGTTTTTTTTCCCTACATTTTAAATTACGCATTGTATTTTGTGTTTTCGGGTTACAGGGTGATAATGGATAATGTCCTGGAAAATTACTACCTCTTTCATTTTTTTTTAATATTTTTCTTACCGTGCACTGATCAACAAAGTCAAGTACAAGCTACTAACAAGGTGTATCATAAATGAACAATTATTAAATTATTATTATTATTAAATTAAATAATTGCTAATAATAGCCAACTTAATGTGAATTGTGTACTGCTTGGCACCTTTAGTTTCCTCTTTTTGTGTAATTTAGATGGAAAATGTGTGCCTTTTTTATCGTTTGAGTCACTTATCAAAAGTTACTAAATGTTGCCAAAAAAATTTTTTAAATAGCTAAATTTGTTGCTTCGTGCTTTTGGAAGAAAAAGTTGCTAGGGTATTCTGAAAAGTTGCTAAATCTAGCAACAAAATTGCTAAGTTGGCAACACTGCCTGGGACAGTCTTGCGCACTTACTTCCTGTCGCGCGCACGCGCTCTCAATTGGCCAAGACCACAAGTGTGGATATTTGGAAAAGGGGACAGTCCTGCAGAGTTTTGCTCCAACTCTAATAAAACACACCTGAACCAGCTAATCAAGGTTTAAAGTGGAAGTGAAGCAGTCAGTCAAGTTTAAATTATTTAGTAAACTGATTTCCACTTTAATAAAAAAATATACAGTATAACAAAACACGATTAATGTAACCGTTTAAAAGAAAAAATGATATTTTGTTATAGCTTTTGAAGCAAGGGCACCGCCATCTTGCGATTCCACAGTGTGTGACGTAGCGGGGTTGGTTCGCTCCATTGGCCAGTGAAGTAATATAAGCATTTCCTTACTTTTTGAACACATAAATGTTATTTTAACACACAAATGTGTTTGTGTTTCACCATAATTGCATGAATATCCAACACTAAACTGTCTAAATCACTAAGTTTTGATCGTAATATCCCAAACATTGTTTTCATAACGTGAGGCGCAACGTGACGTAAACAAACAATGCTTCATATAATAATTGGTTCGCTCTGTTGGCCAGTGAAGTAATATAAGCATTTCTTTACTTTTTGAACGCACGCTTGTTTTGAAATTGAGGAAGATGAACTTAAAAGGACTTTTGAGCCCATAAGAAGTCCCATAAAACCATGTCTGCATTTGTGATCGGAGAAATGACAAACAACAAGTGCTACTCTACACTGCCCAAAAAACTTGCGTTTGAATCGTCAGTGGCAAATTCTTTAAATATAAAAAACGTTCTTACAGTCTGTGAGTCAGAACAGCCGGCATTATAGTCTACTCTCCCAGGATCAGGAAACAGTCCTCCATAAAATGTGCTGCACACATCTGAATATTTGGGTTGAAGTGTTCTGGAACAGTGTTGTAAATACAACTTAACTACTTATTTCTAGTCGTGTCCCCTTTTGGAAGAACAAAGAAAGTAGTTTCACTTTCACAATGAAACAGCGTCACACACCGCGGCCTTGAGTGAGCTGAGGTGGGCGGGCTTGAGAATGGCATGACCTGCGGATTCGACGAAGGAGCGTCCGGCAAGGTGGATCCAGAGTCTTTGCAACTTTACAGATCTTCTTTATGCACCAAGAGCTTGTAACACTCCAAAGAGAAAGGAAAAACTGAAATCGCATCATATGACCCCTTTAATGCATTTGAGCCGATACAGTGAGGGGACCGAGCAGTATAACCGTTTCTGGTGGACGAAGTCATGAACCTGCTGGTTTGGGGTGAAGAGCGGGTTGGAGATAATACGTGTTTTCGTAGATACTTGTCAAGACAGTGATTCTGACATAATTTTGTGTGCATTTGCTCAAGAAGATGTGAAAGAGGACTCAATTTGGTACGTGCGTGCTGTCTGATCTCTGGCTTTTAGTGTGTGTGCGCTAGAGGTCTGCTACCTGACCCAAGCCCGACGGGTCCCGAAATACTTTCGGGTTCGGGTTAATGTTTAATGAATAGCTTCGGGTTCCGGTCGGGCTTGGGTTTATAGCTAAAATAATACTATGTGCAGTAGGCTACGCTGCTTTCATAGATGCACACACACACACACACACACATTAGTGCACACGACAACACAGCACGGAAACTTTTATTAGTAAAATAGCTTTGACAGGCTACTGACACGCAACTTTATATTTCTCTGCAATGAGGGGGTAAAAACGCTGTTTTTGAAGTAAATAAGCCTCATTGTTTGTAGAGAGAGGCGCGCAGACACAGGTTCACACAAGCAACTTTCATCCCTCTCTCTCTCGCTAATTCAAATAAAAGATATAATTAATTAATTCAAATAAATGCGATCTTACCACACTGCATCTCTGTGTCTGATTTAAAGCAGGCCGAATGCTAACGAGCCTTAACTGATGAAAATGACCATAATTTGCACGATGGAAGAATTATCGTGGAGTTCTCTTTAGCGCTGTCTCGCGCTTGAATGGCTTAAAACACTTTAATGTTTAACTGGCAAAGCTTAAAACAATGATAAACTGTAAAAGAATAATAAAAGAATGATAAAGTTTCTTGAGGAAGCAGCACAAGCCCGATCATTGAGATTGGAGATCAATGATTAGTTAAACACTGGAGCGTCCTGTTAACAGCAGGTAAACTAATTGTATTCGCAGGTGAACATAAAATATCATACATACCACAAACGGTGAAAGAGCCAGTGTAATGCAAATATGTCTGAAAGGTCTGACATAACAATTAGATGCGACATGAATGGTATTATATGAAGCATTGTTTGTTGACGTCTCGTTGCGCCTCGCGTTATGAAAACAATGTTTGGGATACTACGATCAATACTTAGTGATTTAGACAGTTTAGTGTTGGATATTATTAAAGTGGAAATCAGTTTACTAAATAATGTAAACTTGACTGACTGCTTCGCTTCCACTTTAAGGTTTAGTAGAAGGCAGGCAGGTGAGTTTTTGTCGAGGTTGGAGCAAAACTCTGCAAGATTGTGGCTCCCCAGGACCAATGCTGGCAACCCCTGGTCTAGAGCAAATGAGAACATCTCACTTTATTATAAACCTATCCAATATATCTGCACAGGACACATTTTTTGACATGATCCGCCACAACCGTTTGCACCTGTTTACACTTGCCAATCAAAGTACTTTTTGAATGGGTACATGATGTTGTTGTATTGAAGAATCCATTATAGTGTGTTGCATCACAATGCCCTGTTTGCTTTGACATATTCATGACCTGTATAATCTCTGCATAAGGTCTAAATGCAGCGAATTTTGGCTTGCACTCCTGTAACCAAAACTAAACATCTTTTCCCATGTGGCATGTCATGGTCCCACACCTGCTAAAGTACCCCTGGATCCACCTGCTATATAAGCCACACCCCAAACATCTTGCTATAGGGAGAGTTGGAAAGAGATTGGCAGATCTGAGCTGACTACTCTAAATGTTTTGATGGTGTATGAGAGTTTCAATGTTTACACTTTTTAGATAGATAAACTCATGAATGGCATACTAATAGTAGTCAATGAATACTAAAGCTTGGTTAAGAGAATTATTATTATTATTATTATTTACATAAAAAAATACTTATTTCACCTTTAAAGTGTTGCACAACCTCTCTCAGTGTTGTATTAATCTTGAGATCAGGTCTTCTGCTGAACTTTTCTTTACAGAGTGGACAGAAGCAGGTCTGTGTGTTTGTCCAGCACTCATTCAGGCAGGTTCTGCAGAAGTTGTGTCCACATGGAGTGGTGACTGGATCAGTGAACACATCCAGACAGATGGAGCACTGGAGCTCCTCATTTAGAAAACTACTGGAGGATGCCATGACTGAAAAGACAAATTATGGTAACATATCATCTACATTACTGAATTGAACAATATGGATAATACTAATAAGGTGTACTAAGTATTTTTTAAATATTGCTGGCTGATGTGGCCTGGAGTTTGGCTGGCCATATGGGCATGTACAGTTCTTCAATAACTATATGCCATGACAAGTTTGGTAGAACTTTAGCAGTTAAATTCTTACGGTGCGTTTCCACTACAGCGTCAATTCTGCAATTCCCCACTGCTTTGGGGCGTTTCAAATTTAGGGCAGAGCACGCCTCTGAAAACAGTTTGTGTTTCATCATCTTTTTACGGTGGTTCGCAAACTGAACACGAGTAAAACGAACCAAAAATAAAAGGCATCACAATATGAAATAAATGAACACAAGCATATCTTATCAGATTTTCCTGTGGTCTGAGGTGTGTTAAGAGTGACTGAATCTGCTCTGAAGAACGTCGGAGGCGCCCCAATCGGGAATCATAAATATTCAACATGTTAAATATTTACGATCAGAAATCCTGATGTGTGGGAAGAACCCCAAGGGCAAACGTGTGTACGATCTGGAGATTATCACGTGAAACAAAACAATATCCAATCAGAAAGCAAGCTGACAGAAGCATAACAAATGCAGTCATCACAATTTCTTCCTGCCTATCATCTGCCATGTTTATTCTCAAATCTCGAGAGATTTTGTGAGATTTCCCGTGTTTAGAGTCGGGACTCTCGGGACTTGAAAATCAGTTGGTGTGTGATGTGCTGTCTTTGTCACATCGCAGCGCAGCACACTACACACTATAGGAGAAAAATTGTTAAATCTAGGATTTTTTTGTCCTCATGTTTGTGGTCTCTCACATTTTAAAAATCTTTTAGTGTGTACCCAGCTTAATCCACCAGTTCAGCAAACACTCGGAAACATACGTCAAAATCTTGCCTTGCCTACTTTTCACAGTGATTGGTTGTCACCCGCTGTTTTTCGCTCGATATTTGCATAAAGTCGAGGAATGCCCAACCTTTTTGACACTCAACGCTTTCAATCCCATAATGCACCGCGCGAGCATTTAAGCTCAACTTCCATAGGAATGATTTGAAAACGCTCGCTCCTCTTCGCTCGCTACGTGCCAGTGGAAACGCACCATTATCATTCACTCTTGTAAGTTGTTCGAACTTGTGGGTCAACTTGTAAATTATCACTTTCGAAAAAGTCAATTCATGATCATATCCATGCTTGTGTTTAATCTCATACAATGATAAAGGTAACAAAACAAATAGATAATTTTGTTGAAAAACATACTTATATGTAGAAAGATAAACTAACAATTGCTATTTTTTAAATCAAAGTACAAAGTACTTAATTGTCATCTCTGTAGAAGAAATAATTCTGAAACTGAATATGTGTTTCTGGGAATTTGCAATAGAACATTACAACATTATTTCATAACACAAAATCCTTTCTAAATACAACAAGAGTGCGTGTTTTTCATTTTAGTCCACAAAATATTTCTCACTGCAAAACCTGTATAGTAAACACCATTAAATTACCTGTACTGTAATTTAACTTAGTTTAATGTATTTATGATTTTTACTTGTTTTTATTTGACTATGTTCATTGTGCCTGCAATTCATGTACTTTCTGTTTCTAAAGTCTTTAAGTTGTGACATAAGACCACATATCAAACTTCGCTTTACAGCTAGTTAAGTTACATCAGTAATAACATTCTGATACTATTTCAGAGTTTTAAACTGTTCATAACACAAAATCCTTTCTAAATACAACAAGAGTGCGTGTTTTTCATTTTAGTCCACAAAATATTTCTCACTGCAAAACCTATATAGTAAACACCATTAAATTACCTGTACTGTAATTTAACTTAGTTTAATGTATTTATGATTTTTTACTTGTTTTTATTTGACTATGTTCATTGTGCCTGCAATTCACGTACTTTCTGTTTCTAAAGTCTTTAAGTTGTGACATAAGACCACATATCAAACTTCGCTTTACAGCTAGTTAAGTTACATCAGTAATAACATTCTGATACTATTTCAGAGTTTTAAACTAGTAAATAAGCTCTTACATTTTCAACACTTACCTCTGAGTAAATATCGCCTGCGATCACAAGATTCGAAGTCACTGACTAAATATTTAGCTTGAAGAGGCATCGGTTTAGTTTTACTTTCAGTGAAGTCTTTCACTCACGTGCAGTGATGTCATACAGTAGCTCCACCCAAAATCATAAATATGCAACCGTTCCTAATTCATCCCTGCAGGGTGTGTAACAGTTTAATAAACTTTTAGAATATCTTGTTTTGTTTAGTTCCTATTTTGATGACAGTTTTAACATACAAACAATTTAAGTTAAACATGATAAGGCAGATATAGCACACAAATGCAGTCTTGTTAAGGATGGTTTCTTAACTAGCATTTTATGTATTCTTAAGGCATACAATCAATTAATATTTTTGCACTTTTTACACTTTTTAGACAACACTGAAGATGTGCTCAGTGAAACCACAGCTGAAAAACAACATGAGTGATGATGATTGTTATTATTCCAAAAGGTCATTGTCTTTAATTTTTGTACATTTTCATGACATTCATCTGCTATGTCAGTACCTGATACAAGAAAGATGGTAGATGCTTCAGTTCCCTTTCATGGGAACTTCGAACTGCATCCTCTAGGGGTCGCTATGGAGAA